AGTAGACATTACTACAATACCAGGCTTTGCTGATTTATTTCTTTATTAATAACTCAGTTATTTACAGCTTAAAATGCTGCAGTCTTATAAGACATGTTTATGTATTGCATGGCAAAGCCTCCTGGTTATTTTCAAAAATATCTGTATGTTAACTCCCTTAAACTTTAAAATCAACTTGATGGGGATATTTTAGTTACACTGAATTAAAGCTTTGTTACCTGAAGAAATTAAACATTCGTAATATTGTGCCTTCCTCCTGTTATACGGTAAAATTCTTTTGTCAGGAATGCATTTTTAATTTTAGGGGTTTTTTAAAAGTTATTGAGTTGCCCAGACAGAAGTGCATAAATCATTAGTGGATAGCTAATTTTTGTGAAGCAGACATACCACTGTAACTACCCCAGAGTCAGACAGCATTATCAAAACCCAGACGCCTCCTCTTGTGTTCTCCCTGTTAACTTCTTGAAGAGTTTACACTACACTGCCTTCACCAGAGTCATTTTATGAGTTCAAAATCACATCACAGACCCTTTCAAGATATTCTTTGTTTTCTGGGTTCTTTTGATTATTAACAGGTTTGTGGGATTTGGCTAGTTTGGTCATATAGCTCATTCTAGTCCATTTTTTGTCATTGTTGTGTAACAATTCACTACACAAATGCTTTACAATTCTATGTGCATTTAATTGTTTATGGAAATCAGATAATCTTCCACTTGGGGGTATTACAAATTATGCTTTTCTGAACACATGTATGCCTTTTGGTACACATATGGACATGCTTCTGTTGAGTATGTATTTGGGTGTAGGGTCACTAGGTCATAGATAAATTCAACTTAGTAGATAATTCTAGTTTCCAAGGTGGTTGTATGTGACTAATTAAACTGGCACTTGTGCCAGCTGAGTAAAATGGTACACCTTAGTATGTGCATATTTTGTTTTAAGACATTTTGATGAGTATATTTAATGTATGTTTTCTGAAATATGAATACTTTATATGGGCTTATACAAGTTATATCAATTTTAATTGAACTATTTGCTTTCAATTGATTTGTAAAATAGATTCACTGCAAATATCTTCCCATTATATGACTTTTTTCCTCTCTGACACATTTTGGTAATTGTCTGCTTTTAATTTTCAAGGGATCCAATTTGTCAGTCTTTTACTTTTGGGTAATAATTTTGATGTCTTGTTTTAAAATACTTGGATAATCCAAAGTCATAATACTTGTCTCTCAATACTCTTTTAGAAGCTTTATGTTTTTCTCCTCACATTTAGTTCATGATCCATTTGGGATTGTTTTGTTGTTTCTGATGTTTTTGGCTATGGTGTGAGGTATAGACTCCATATTCTCTACTGTTTTAAAAACTTTTGTGTCTGTACTTATAAGCTGAGTTAGCCTCTAATTTTATTTTGTTGTTTTTATACTGTATTTTTATAGAAAAATTGTGCTATTTTATAAATGGAGTTGGCTAGTATCTCTTATCTATTTACTTGTGGAGTTTTATATATTAGTTGCTCTTTAATCTTAGAATAATTTACTGGTGAAATCCTCCTGAATCTGAAGTTTTCTATGTGGATAGTTTATTATAGATTCAATTTATTTAATGGATAAAAGTCTATTCAAACTTCATACTTCTTTCTCTGATAAGTTGTGACTTTTCTAGGTATTTGCCAGTTATTTTCAAATTTATAGCTATCAAGTTGTCCATAACATGTTTTACTATCTTTTTACCATCTGTAGTATATAGCCCCTTTATTTTCTGGTGTGTAATTTCTTCTTCTTCTCCTTCTCCTTCTCCTTCTCCTTCTCCTTCTCCTTCTTCTTTTTTTAAATGTATTTGGTATAGGATTTCATTACGCAGCTCTGTTTTCAGCCTCCCTAGCACTGGGATTACATGTGTGTGCCACCACGCCAGTCTCAGTGGCCAGCTCAATACACCCTGGGGCAGGGGCAGAGCAGCAGGCCAGAGGATTGAACCTCCAGCCCCTGAACCTGATTGCAGGCTCTTTAATCCGCTGAGCTATTTGGCCGGCCTCCTATAAACACTTTCTTAAGCAGGTGCTTAGTCTGCTGATGTATCTCACTGGCCCTCTTTGATGTGTTCTTTCTTTCTTTTCTTTTTTTCTTGCTAAGAAGTTTATGTTAGTTGTATCAAATTAATCTCAATGTGATTTTGTGGGTGTTCAGTTGATTTGGCTTGGTTTTTGTTTTTTGAGGCAGTCTCGCTGTGTTACCTACCCTGGTCTCAAAACTCATGGGCTCAACTTACCCTCCCACTCCAGCCTCCTGAATAGCTGGGACTACAGGCTTGTGCCACCACACATGGAACCTTTATTGTAAATTTCCTTTCTGTATTGTTGCTTTCTCTGTTTTTATAGTTTCCTTTCCACTACTTTCTGAGTATGTTTGTTCTTTTTATAGTTTCTTGGTGGAGTTGATATTCAACATTTCTTTTCAAATCTGTGTCATTTGTGCTATAATTTTCACTTTTTAAAAAAAAATTATTTATTTATTTATTTATTTTGTGTGTGTTTGTGTGTGTGTGGCCAGCTCAGCCCACCAGGGGGTGGGGCTGGCTGGCATGTGGTGCTGGGGGATTGAACCGCGGTCCCTGTGTTTTGCTTAGCTTAGCTTGTTCTAAGTAGGTGCTTTAGACCACTGAGCCATCTCACCAGCCCCTAAGTAGGTGTTTTAGACCACTGAGCCATCTCACCAGCCCCCTAATTTTCTCTTTAAGCATGGAATAACTCCACCCCACAATTTTGACGAGTTGTGTTGTCATCATTCAGTTTGAAATATTTTCTAGTCCCATGAATTTTTTTTCTTTCTCCAGAAACAAGGTATTTTTATCATGTATAAGTGTATGCTATACTTATATATTTATGTATAATATTATATGTGCATATTTTAAATTTCTAGTACCTTACTTCCTGTTTCTCATTTTATAGTGATGGCTGTTCGTGTTTTAAGGAGGTATTAGCCTCTCAAATCACGACAGAACTGTGATGTTTTAAGATTTTAAGTGGTTTTCTGAATAACTTCGGGGACATGATCAGGAACATGGAATTGTTTTACTTGTCTTAATTGCTGACTTTCATGCTGTTGGTTTCCTCCAGTTGCCAGATAATATTTATTTGTGTGCTCACATTTTAAAATTGAGGTGCAAATTGATAGTTATTGGTAGACGATAGACATTTCCTTGAGTACTGTTAAGGTTTTCCGTTTGGTACTTGGGCAGAGCCAGCTTCTGCAGGGATTAGCTGAGTACAGGATTTTGCAAGTGAAGAAGTGCCCACAAGTAGGCTTCATTTCAGTGACAGCACTGGAAGCCAGCTGAGAAGCTGGAGTCTCTCTCAGTGTAGGTGCAGGAAAAGTATTGCCTGAGACAGAGTGTGAATGTAGAGATGTCCTTACTCCTTTCAGCTACTCGGCCTTTCCCTTCTCTGTGTTCGCTGGAGCTGTCCAGTTCCATGTAGCAGTGCCCGCTTTCCTCTGTGATCCTGAGGAGTTCCCCTCATTTTACACAGAGACATTTGCTAACTAAGTGCTGCCAGTGGTAACTGCGTAGAGAAGATCTCAGCTCCTATCTGGTGGTCCTTAGCCTACACTACCATGTCTCAGAGTCCATTCCTGTGTCCACACCTGCTCTTCGTGATGTGGACTTTGAGATTGGTCTCTGTCCTGTAGTAGGAAAAAACAAATCTCAAACACTTTTGTAATCCTTCCTGTTTCCTATGTTCATGTATACGTTCTTCTGCTTCTCCGTCCATTAAGTATCAAAAATTTCCCCAATAGCACAGCACGAAGATATATTAGTTTATTGGGTAGGGTAGAGAGGTAGGGTGCTTGCTTATGCTTGCCTAGTATGCATGAGGTTTGATCCCCAGCATCACTAGAAAAAAGAATCCTTCAAAGTAGTTAAGCAAATATAATTTAATTTTAAAAAATAGTCATGAAGGAACCGTATTCAGTCATTATCACAGTTTCTTTCCCATTATTGAAGCATATAACCATTCTTTGTATTTCACTGTGGATTAGAATTTTGGTTTAATTTTCAATGTACTGTCTTATGATAAAAATGAAAGAAAATGAAATTATTTAAGATTATTTAATTTTTAGAAGGATTTTTTTTTTTTTTTTTTTTTTTCTGGCTCAAGCTGCCTTAAGGGCGAGTCTGCTAAGGCAGTTGGAGGTGGGGATCGAACCATGGTATCCTGCACCTGACTGTGTTTGCATGAGCAGGCGCTTAAACAACTGAGCTAACCAGCAGGTCCCCTAAGATTATTTAATATTTAATATTATGATTAAACTTACTCAACCTGTTTGAAACTATCATGGTCATCAGATCACTTAGTTATCTTTACTAAAGGTTAATCCAAGTATACTTGGGAGACCAGGATATTTTTCATAAGTGCAATTTGTCTAGTAGTGAATTATATTCTTCTGTGAGAATTTTATCCCTAGTATCTGATTCTTTAGTTAGAGTGGCCAGAGCATGGAGACAGACCTAGGTCCAAATCCTGGGTCCATGACCCAGGCAAGTGCCTGTCACAATGAGGATATCTTGGTGTTTATCGATGAATGAATGTATGAAGTTTCTTAAATGTATGAGGCTGTTTCCTTACCTGTAAACAGGTATAAAAATTGCATGCCTGCATATTAGTCAAATTATGTGAAACCTCATGAAATATAGTAAGCATTAGAACTAGGTATGATAATAGCAAATTTAATACAGAATCCTTTCATTACTAGCAAGCAAGTTTTTCACCATTTTCCTACTATTGAAATGCTTGCATTAGCACACAAATCCACAATTTAAGCATGCTTACTATATTGATTCCATTGTCACCTTTATTTATCCTAAAATATGTTTACTTGCTAGACATTGCACTTTGTAAAGTGTTATATTTTAGTTTTCCATTGTTTTATCCCAAGATGTAATTCTCTAAAGAAGGGAATGGCAAATTATTTTAATGCTTCTATTGTTTTTGTTTCTAGCTTACTCTACTAAGCTGAACAAATTTCCTGTGTTTAATATTAATGATGACTTGAGTGATCTGTGCACCAGTGCAGTAAGCCCAAATACCACTAAAGCCACGCGGTATGCACTGAACGTGTGGCGCTACTGGTGCATGACCAACGGGCTCAAGGATCACACGGACATCACCAAGGTAAGGGACTCTCCAGTTTACTACTTCTTTTGGCCAACTTCACTGAGCTTCCAAGTGCCAGGCGCTGTGCTATAGATATTGCAGGGAACAGAACAGTTGCTCTCTGCCTGGGGAAACTTGGAAAGGATATAAAATAGAAAGAAAAACACCCACATTGTCCAAAGCAGAATTTAGTAAGTATTTTATGATTTTATAAATCAGAAATTGCTGTAAAATCCAGATGAATAAATTAATTTCAGTTTGATGAAACTGGAGAGGGAATTGACATTTAAACTGTGTTTTGAGAGCTGTTCAATAGAATTGGAGGACAGACGTTTTCAAGATTGAATGATGAGGGCTGGTGAGATGGCTCAGTGGTCTAAAGCACCTACTTAGAACAAGCTTAGCAAAGCAAAGGGACCACCGCTCAATCCCCCAGCACCACATGCCAGTCAGGGCCACCCCCTGGTGGGCTGAGCTGGACACACACACACACACACACACAAATAAATAAAATTTAAAAAAAAAGATTGAATGATGAGATGAAGAGTAAATTTTGGGATGACAGAAATGCTTATTAAAGCAGGTTGCAAGGGCTGGCCAGATAGCTCAGTGGACTAAAGTGCCTGCTCAGGCAGGAGCAGTGACCGGGGTTTGATCCCTGGCATGCCATGCAGGACCTACCCCCAGAGCACACTGAGATTTGATTGAGATTGAGCATGGTGACACATGCTTGTTATCCCAGCACTTGGGAGGCTGAAAACAGGAGAATCACTATGAGTCTGATCTGTATAGTGAGACCCTGTAGACCCAGTACTAAATACATTTTTAAAAAATAATAATAAAATAAATGAAATAAAATAAAATAATTTTTTTTTATAAAATAGGTTTCATATATGCATGTGGTAGAGTATAAACCAGATTTTGAAAACCCTTAATTACCAAACTAGAATTCCTGTATACATTGACAATTACTGAAGTTACTCTTCTGGGTAAGGAGAGACTTTATTTTAAAGAATTGTAAGATCTGATCGTAAAAGCTGCAAGTATCTTAGGGTTAGGCAAAGAAGAAACCATTAAAGTCTTTTGAGAAGGAAAGAACATATTGGCAGTAATATTTTCAGAAAAATTAATTGTAAGTAATGAGCAACTTAGTGTCCTTGGTCCACTGTTTCTTCTTTTTTAAGATGAACCTTGGGCCGGCCAAATAGCTTAGGGGATTAAAGTGCCTGCAAGCAGGTGCAAGGGCTGGGGGTTCTATCCCCCGGCCTGCCGTGCCAGCCCCACCACCAGGACACACTGAGACAGCAGTTGAGACTGAGTGTGGTGGCATGCACCTGTGATTGATCCCAGCACTTGGGAGGCTGTAAACAGGAGAATCACTACAAGTCTGATCTAGTAGTGAGACCCTGAACACCCTGTAAACCCTTCCCTAAAAATAAAAAAAACAGAACCTTTAAGATCTCTTCCATTTCAAAGTATTTTGAGTTTTGTGAATGATAAGAAAAGAATCTTACAGATGTGGAGAAAGAATAGAACTAACTGTATTTTGACTTGGCTGTATTGAGTCGTAAGTCAGATGACCAGAGGGACAGGTTGCAATTGTGAGATTAAAAGCAGGATGAAAAACAGAAATATAGAAGTGTAGATTTCAAGCTCTTCCCAATAGAGATGATAGCTGAAGCCCAAGGAAAGGTTGGAAATGAACACATTGAAATAGAAAAGCCCAGTTTCTACTGAAATCATAGTTCACTAGATAATGTGGGGCCTTTCTGTTTGATCTGCAAAAGGGCAACATCCTCAGGAGGAGTCATGGGGACAGGAGAGGGAGAGGGAAGGAAGGACGAGAGAACGGAGCTGGAGCGGTGAACACAGAAGCGAGGGCTCTTCTGAAGTTGCATGTGGATGACAGTGTTAAGTAGAGGTAGGACAGGAGGATGAACAGAGGATGTGAAAGGCTCCCAGAGTTCCAGGTCAGTTGCTGTGACTATTCATGAGCTTCCCCTAGCTTCTAACACAGTCCTATGCTAACCACGCAGAGAAGACATCCAAAATGTAGGAACTCCGATCCCTCACAGATAAAAGTACATGCTTTTAAACATCAGTAGTCATTCAGGAAATAAATCAATCTAAATGATGATGTATAAAAACAAGAAACAACAGATTTATACACCAAGAACTTAAAGAGAGTTATAGACTAAACTTGTATGAAGCATTATGAAATTTATATGTGAAATTTTATAAAAAATAAAAGCCATAGGGGCCAGGGAGATGGCTCAGTAGGATAAGCACTTGACTGGCAAACGCAAGGATCTGAGTTCAATCCCCGGTTCCGCAAAAAAAATAAAATAAAAATAAAAACCATAAAAACAACATATCCAGCAACATAATCCAGCAGATTTAAAAATAAATTGAAATTTCTGTTTTTGGCCATGAGAGAAAAGCATTCAAAAGTAGCCTCCTTTGACAACCAGAAAACACAACACAATATATGAAACAACTCACTGCAAATGGAACACAAAATGTGATCCCTAAAACAGAGGAAACAAATGAGAAAAGGGTCATCTCTGAGGGTGTGCCCTGAGGTAATTTCTGAGCTGCAGTGGAGAGGGAGAGGTTGACTGAGTGATCTTTATGAGTTGAAAGGAAACCTAAATCAGAGCTTGGGAAACTGAGACTATTAATACATTCTAGATTTCAGTTCACTGAAAGAAAACTATAACAAAATCCAGAATTCAGCAATGTAAACTCCCTAATTTCTAGCACCCAATTATATGTTACTGGACATGGATAGACGTAACCCTGATCTGGGAGAAATATCAATTGAGACACTTCCAGCCAGTTGGGAGGGTCAAAATTGCCTTCATGCATAGATAGAAGGCCAAGGACAGTGATCCATGCGGGACAGTAAAAAGCAGGGTAATACCTCAGAGTATTCAGTTTGCGGACTTCAAAGAGTTAACAGGTCTGTGGGGCATGGAGGAAGAATTCAGACAATGCCCTGCAGACTTGCTTAACTGAGCAAACAAAGATGAGTCCAGAGAGCCAGAGAGGTGGCTAGAGTTGTCTTGACACAGTGTCCAAAGGCGGAGTGCCAAGAGAGAGCCTATGGGACCTAAAGGTGGGCTCCTTCAATGTTTGGCCAAGTACTGTCTGTATCTGCTTGTGAAGAAGTCATTGGGGGCTGGCAAAAGAAAAAAAGAAAGGGGGAAAAAAAAAAAGCTTGAAAGGATTAGAGTTAATAATAGGTGGCACTGACACAGAATTGGAGACCATATGGCCCACCAACCAGACTGAGAAGAACCCTCAAGTTTCCAGGGATTAGCCTACCAGGTACTTTGGCTGAGTAATGCAGGACAATCACAAATTCAAGCAAGCCCAGGCAACTTAGTGACTTAGTGAGTCTATACTCAAAAATTTAATGAAGAGAAGGGGATACAGCTCAGTTCAGAGACCCTGGGTCTGCTACCAGTATTACTACCACCAAACTAAACCAAAAATTCATGGGCTGGACTCCTGGGTTTTATGCCATAGAGGTGTGGGAAATACTTAGCTGTAGATGAGCACAGCTCAATTGCCCCCCAACAGATCCTAAAAGCAAGACCCAAAGAGTTAAATGGTTTTTAATAATTAATTTTAATAATTAACTGTATTCCAGAACAAAGCTTAGGAATACAGAAATATTAAAACACAAAATAAAATTCATAATATATGTCATCTATAAACAAAATTTATCAGACATTCAATGAACAAGAACATATATCTTTACTCCTTTTTTTTTTTAACATATTTGGTATGGAGTCTCAATACATAGCTCGGACTCATAGTAATCCTCCTATTTTCAAACTCCCCAGCATTGCGATTATAGGCGTGCCCCCAAGCACTTGCCTGACAAGCACAGGGTCCTGAGTTCAATCCCTGGTGCTGCAAAAAACAAATAACAACTTAGGTATATTATGTATTAGAGAAGATTGTGAACTTGGATATACACTGCAGAATAGAATACAAAAAGAAAATTGTTTAAAAGTGATCCAACCATTAATAGGGACTGTGATGTTTCCAGTGGACTAATAGGTAGTAGTTAGAATCCTTGAAGCAAAGGAGAAAGAGGAGCAAGAAGAGATATTTGAAGGATAATAGCCCTAATTCCACCAAATTTAATAAAAACTGAAATACCCATAGATTCTAGAAGTTCACTGAAACCCACACAAGAAGAATACTATAAATGAGTGTACTATAACCAAATCACTGAACCAGTTGCAAATAGAAAGCTTAAAAGCAGGTAAACTTAAAAGAAAAACTGAAAAGCCAAAAACAGATTTCTCATTAGGAACAAAGCAGATGCAAAGATAATTGAGCAACTCCTTTTAATTATGAAAGAAAACCACTTTCACTATCCCCAATGAAAATGTCTTTCAAAAGCGAATATGAAATAATAAAAGACTTTTCAATATTCAAAAATGAAAGAATTCATCATCAGGGGATCCACACTCTGAGATTTGTTAAATGATGTTCTCTAGCCAGAAGGAAAACAGTACTGTGTGGTATTATGTGGATAACAAAGGAAAGACCCTTGGAAATACAGCTACACAGGGGCCAGGGAGATGGCTTAGTAGGATAAGCGCTTGACTGGCAAACGCAGGATCTGAGTTCAATCCCCGGTTCCACAAAAAAAAAAAAAAAGAAAAGAAAAAGAAAGAAAGAAATACAGCTACACAATTAAGTATATGTAAGTTTTTTAAACTTAATTTTCTTTTAAGATCATTGACAAAAACAACAAAGATAAAATGGAATAATAAAAATATTAAATTGATGCAGGAATAGAAAACAAACTTTTCCACTAGAAACTATGTAAGACAGTGGGGCAACATCTTTAAAGAGGTGAAAGAGAAAACTTCAACCTAAAATTTTATACTCAAGAGTAAATAAAAACGAAAGTGAAATGAAGACTTGTTCTGAAAATAACAAGCCTGAGTGAATCTTTCACCCAAAAACCTATATAACACTAAATGTTAAAGGAA